AATTTTTCAGATATGTTGAAGAAGTTGTTTCCCCTTTATTTAAATGTTTCTGGCGGTAAAACTACCTCCTTTTGAAGAAATGAAAAAAATGTGTAGATTTTGTGTTAAAAAGTTGGTATAATATAGAATGTGAATTAACGAATAGAAGATTATTTTTTCAGTCTTTAAATCAATACAGGTTTGAGGAAATTTGATGTTAATAGAAAAAATATGGTTACTGCAAGATCGCGCTAATAAATGTACACTAAGGAAAAGCGAGATATGATTATGAATAAAAAAGAAACGCAACAGGACTAGTTAGAAAGCCAAATACAAAAAAATGCAAAAATTATATTGGAAAATGTTTAAAGGATTGTGCCAGGGATTAAGAGTTAGCAGATATTTCAAATTTGATGTTTGTGAGCAATATTAAGTCAGTTAAAATAATCCAGAATGATTAATTTTTTTACTCCAGATGAGGGAATGTTCTACCATTTTATTGATAGAATAAGAACAAGGGGGAGTTCCCAACATTATGTTTAAGGAATTAAATGTTCCCATTTCACTTCAAATTGTATAATGAAAGCAATAAGTCAATTTTGAACTCAAATAAGAGTGGTGGCCCAAAGATTTATACAAATTAAAACGAATTTTTTATCCATGGTTTAAACACGTTTTTAAATACCAACATTGTTGACATTATTTTAATAAAATTTTTGAAACTAGGATACTTTCCGAAGTTTGGTCTGAAGGTTTTAGTTAATTACCATTGCATTAAAAAAGGATCAATTAATTTGATGTAAATAATTATAGGGGGTATAACACTTTTAAGTTACGTTAGGGGAAACTTTTTACTTTAGATTATTGGACAATCGAGTTAAAGGATTGGGCAGAAAATTATTAAGTGTGTATATAGAGGCGCAAAGCTGGATTTAGAAATCAAAAATTTAGGCCCACGGTGGATTTAATATTTTTGTTTTGCATGGTCTTTGATAAATCATGTTATCAATAGTGGTAACCAAAATTATAACCTTGTGCTTTTTATAGATTTTTCCCCAAAAGCTTTTGATTATGTTAAATAGGGATAAACTTATGGTTTCTAAACTTATTCAAATAGGTATTTTAGAAGGTAACTTTTTTAAATATCTTAGAATCTATGTATACTTCTGTTTAAGTCAAGGGAGTTAAGTTAACAATGAAGGTTAGCAATAGTTTTTGGAATGTTTACTTTGGGGGTTAGACAGGGTGAATTTGTTTATTCACCATTTTTTGTTTTCAATGTTATAAATGACATCGAAAGATATGTATTGGTTAAGAACGGCTTCGATGGTATAAAAAAAGTTAACATTGTTTTTTTAAAATGTTTTTGATTTACTATATGCAGATGACATTGTTATTTTTTTGCAAAACAATCCTTAGGGGGACCTGCCAATCCAAGTTTTAGATATGTTATGCGTTGTATTGTTGAAATAAATGGGGAAATTGAAAGTTAACACCCCAGCTAAAACAAAGGTTTTGATATTTAAAAAAGGTGGGTCCGGTTTACAAGAAAATTTTTAAAATTTTTATTTTAATGATAGCCATTAGTTGAAAATTGGGTTAATAAATTTTCATATCTTGGGGAATTGTTTTAACTAACAGTGGATCTTTTATGGAAGCTCAAAAGATTACTTTTTAGCGGGTCCAAGCACTTAAGGCTATTTATAAAGATGGATAAAGTACTTATATAAATTTACTGATATATCTGTTAACATAAAGTAGAATTATTTGATAAACTTATACTACCTATTTTAAATAATGGAAGTGAAATTTTTGGGGGTTTAACAAGGCAAAAAATCAGTTCGAAACGTATTCATATGCCATTTCTGTAAACGTATATTGGGAGTTAAAAAGAATTTACACAGAATGATTTTATTTATGGGGAGTTGGGAAGGAATGCCTCTTGCAAAATATGCGATTATTATAATTAATTTAAAGTTCTGGATCAAGTTGTACTATCAGGATTGAAAAACAAATATAGTAGAAAAATATATTTATTTACTTTAAACAAGATATTCCACAGATAATCCTTCCCAGAAAAAAAAATGGTGCATTTTTTTTTAAAGAAGAATTTATTAAAATGTATATAACTTGGTTTTCAAATTGAAGTTTGGCTTTTCCCCCAAAACTATTGGGGACCCTAAAATTGTTCTTAATAAACGTTAAGCAAAGACTTAAAGACATTTTTTTACAAAAAATTGGTCTGGTTAGATTAAATGACTCTAGCAGAGCAATCTTTCCCAGGTATATATTCAAAACCATAGAATTTCAACCATATCTTAATTATTTAAGTGTAAAAGAAAATTTCGTGTATGTTACTGTCTCGCCTGCGAGTTTGCTCGCATAGGCTTTTATTGAAACAGGTCGGTGGACTAGACCTGTAAGTACACATATAAGTGAAAGAAATGTATTTTTTTGTGACAAGTTAGAAGATGAATATCATTTTGTTTCTGGAATGTTACTTTATACAGTGATTTAAGGAAACTTTTTATACCAAATTTTATGTCAATCGCCCAAATATGCAAAAATTTATTGAATTAATGAATTCAGAAAAATAGACGAATTATGAAAAATCTAAGTATAATACATGAAAAAAAGCTTTTGCATTAAAAGAAGCAAGTGAGTTATATATTAATAATAATATGTTATAAGCCATATTTTAAAAATTATTTTATTTGTAAGTTCATGTTATATGGTACTTTTTCATCAAGTGTTTTACTGTTATTCTTATTCCTAGTTATAATAGTCATGCATATGGTTATATATAGGTATTTCTTACAAAAAAGAATAAAAATGTATCCACGTTCACATTTTGTTACTTTCGTTTTCGAACTAAATGTGACCAAATGTGGAAAATTAGTATGACTTTTTTGTCATTATGTACAGAATACACCCATAAACAGTTTCAAATATGAACTACGCAAACACAAACTGAGGTATATCGAATGAATAAAAAACAGTTGTTTCCCTTTATCTTCGAAAATCAAAATTAATCCGATTTTTAAAATTTATAACACCAATGAAAGCTTTTGGATCTTAGCTTTCATCACAATTTTATACCCTTTAACATATTTTTGGCACAATTAAAACTAAAAAACCTACCGTATGGCAATCATTTTACATTACGATTTATTACAGTGAGATACAGTGCAACCGGGGTTATCTACTGTGGTCTTTGCTATTTTTGGAAAGTGCTTGAAGGTGTATTTCAAATCCATGAAGAAAATAATTGTTGTACCCCCTTGTTTGTTTACTTAAAATATTATAAATTTTTGATACTTGTACTTGTGATGCATGTACCTTGTCGCCATAATTTGTATATATGTATTCATGTTTTTGCCACATGGGTCTAAGACCTTCTGGATGAATTATGAATAAACTTGTATAAACTTGTATATATATATATATATATATATATATATATATATATATATATATAACTATTATATAATATATTATATATATATATATATATATATATATATATATTATATATATTATATATATTATATTATATATATATATTATAATATATATATATCTAAATGAATCTTAAAACGGGAGCTGAGAGAATGTGACGAAACAAATGTTGAAAGACAGATACTTACGAATAACGATAATCCCTTTGAAGTTTTGTTTAATTTATTTTTTTTATTTTGTTTGTTTGTTTTTTTTTGGAGGGGGGGATTTCGATTTACAAAGGATAGTGCACAATTTAAATATGGGCTGATATATAGCCATTAACAATAAATGTTGCCGTTTTTCTGTCATTTAGAAATACATATTTTTCTTCATTTGATTTGTTTAATAAGCACCTTGCTAAATAGTATCATAATTGCCTTGACATAACTACAAAACGTTTTGCTTCCCACCACATGTGCTTAACATAGATAAACGTGTTAATATACAAAATGTTGACATTTAAAATAGTTAATGATATACTTAGCTCGAATTTGATATTATACAATTATTGACTAGTGAGCCATTGAATATGATGTGATATTCACCGGCAGATGACATATTGACGGAGGCGATAGCCGAGGTCAATATGACTTTCTGCCGGTGAATATCATATCATATTCAATGGTTCACTAGTCAATAATTGTTTTATTATATGAATAATTAGAAATTAAAAAAAAATCACAACCTTATAATTATACATGTACAAATTTTGCCTCGTTGAAGCGCGGGAAAAAAGACGCACGTGTTAGGCGTGCAACGACTACGCGAACGCTGCGCATACAAAAATAATTCAAGTTTATACTCATCATTGCGGTGTAACCTTTAAGTATAATAGTAAAGTATTGTTATTTTAATCGAGAAATATGCCATAAAGAACAAAAAGCAGCAATTATTTTTTAATCAACACGCGTAATTAACAGTCTACGGTGTATGATAATTGAATATGAGTCTCAATCTATTTTTAGACTGGGAAAATCCAATTCAGCCAGTGAATATGATACTACACCCAGTAAATATGATTTTATAAAAAGTTCTGTTGCCTACTGTTTGGACCAATGAGATTGCAGCTATATTTAGATCATATAATAAAAAGAAATATTGATAATTGCTACACAGTCTCTTTGTAATTATAAACATGTTTTGATAAGAACGAATACCGCTTTTCAATGTCTGTCCTCCAGCGTCATTTGAAGCGACCGTTCGCGAGTTTGAGTTGAGATTGAGATTAAGTAACGTTTCTGAACAGTTAGAAATATAATAATAGAAATAAATGCTCAATTTATTGTCATGTACTTTAACAATTTCATGTTAAATGATACTGATATATATGCTATACCTTCTTTTGTCATATGATCCACAGATACTGTTATTTTCAATATTGTATTATATCATTATATTGTTTGACTGACACAATAATGTATAGACGTTATGGATGAGGAGTGAAATGCTCAAATCTAGAATAAAATTCATGTTCTGTTCTGTTTTGTTCTATAATTGCAACGTCACTTTTTTTATTTCAGGGAGCGGTGTTAATGGGACAAAGACCAGAGATTATAGTTGAACGAGTTGCCCGCTACACTTACGGTGTTAGTTATGCTAGAAAACCATTCTACGAAGGCAAGTATATGTAAATTGTAGATAATAGTAAATATTGCAACAACACATCAATATTCACAATCAACGGAAATTCATTATAACATAATGTGTTTACATATATGATATTTTTTTCTGTCTTTATTACAAGACCTTGCACATATTGCGTACATCTTTAGATATCTCTAAAAATCGTACTTTAATGCTGTTTTAATAGAAAATAGTTCTAAAGCTGCACGCCAAATGAGTAAGAATATTTACGTAAAAATATCAAAGATGATTTCTTAGAATAGTAAATGAATTACACTTCATTTAATTTGTACACTTGAGAATATATTTTGTAATTAGAAAGATTCTTAAATTTCCATAACAACAAGATTAAACATGGAAGCGTGCTTCTTAATTAACTACAGAAATCTGAGCTATATAAAATCATTATACCTCAATACATCCTTGTTAGACGTATACATGTAATGTGCACCCTCCCTTATATCACACAGGGCATATAACTCCTACATGCCTCCATATTCAGTAGTATACCAGTTGTCTCCCCTGGACTGACTGCTTATTAACAAACGACAGTTAGTTTTGATGCAGATATTGGCTGCTTGAATAATAAACATTCCATAAATTAAAGCGTATTTATAAAGCATATCAGTACATATCATAGTCTGCCTGCATGTCATGAAAACGTGCGCGTGAAATATTACCTTTTTAAAAGTACTCGAATAAAAATTAAATTTACTTTAACAAGATTGCAGATGTGTGCATCGAACTATTCATTGACACCCTATCCTTAATCAAGTTAAAATAGCACAACTATATTTATTAAAATTCCAAAAGCTTTTGGATAAATCTCGCAAGCACGTGTTGTCGTGTCACGTGTTGTCGTGTCACGTGTATTATATATTTAACGTATTGTTACAGGGGAAGATCCGGAAGAACTAAGAGCGACACGTAACGGAGAGGAATATTGTGATGATGTATTTGAGAAGTTGGTTGAAATAGGACAACCAATCAGAATAACTGACGTGTTTACTGTCAACAGAACAAGTTACCTACAATCACCTAGGAGCAAACAGAGGAGGCTGTATACAAAATTGTATGCTTCCATCGAGACCAACCCGGAATATTGTAATGATGACAATTTCTGTGTTAAGATAGGGGAAATTATTCGTCATCCACCGGAAGAGGGATGGCCAGACGTTATGCGATCAAAAATTGAAATAAAATTTGGTGAGACAGAAATGAAAGTTCGTATATTTGAGAAGCAAAGTGGTGTAGAATATAATGCAAGGGTGGATTCTTTATAAGATTTTATCACCTCAGTCAGATGTATGGGACGGATAACATTTAGCGTTGCATGTTTATGTCGTTTATATCAAGCAATTACGGGAACTTAAATTACTACAATAACGTCATTTGTGTGTCCTGGCCATGAGATTTACTGGATGCAGGATCCTGTATCAATATACACTTATAAAAATTATCTGGATGCATAATTCACAAGCTCTTGAATACAAATAGATGCATAATATATAATGCTGGCTAATAAATCTTGCTTTACATAATAATCAGTTTCAAACCCGTGCAGTACACATATTTTGAGGGTACATATACTGATAATTAGTAAACATTTTGCTAAGTAGCCAGTTGAACTGCTGAAATTTGTTTTTGGACACGATGAATTATTGATTGACCACCTTTTGATACAGAACATGCATCCATTGGGTCGCTGAAAACTTGAAGTGATGTAAATCCCTTCTGGCTGTACGGTATTTTAATACAGAACAAGTTGACGTTAAATATTAATGTGTTAGTACAATATTAATTGTATTAAACAGTTGGTCGTGTTATATCACCACATAAAAATGAATAGTAAAATACATGTATAACTTCTCACATAAGAAGTGAATATAAGAAATTTAAAACCTTTATCCCGCGTTTTAATACTTTGACAGAATTATACAATGAAACAATGATTGATTTTTCGCAATCGATTCCTTTAATAATATCAGTCTACATGAACAATGAAAATACTAACTTCCGTGATATTACAGGTCATGTCATGATAGCTGAATTTCACTTCTGACTTTTTTCCTATTGTATGTACGTATAGAAGTGTCGAAATTACCCGATGTTACTCTAGTAACTGTTTCAAATAATACAGAAAATAAAAATACTATCTCATCTATTCATTACACTAGCGGTTATTTTTTCATATCAATTTTTACGATACATTCGTATTTATACATGATCTATTGAAAAGAAGTTTTAAAATGAAAAAAAAAATATATAGTGTTCTCCTTGAAATACCATAGATAACCAAATATCCTTGCACTCTCTCACGGTAGTCAAAATGTTGTTCAGTCCAAGCATAAATAAATCTTGTAAAACTTTCTTAGAATTGTTAAATATTTGATCTAAGGAGTCATTTGTAAGCCACTGCAACTTAACAATATCAATCAAATACATGAACATGAAAACGTCAAAGTTAGAAATGACAAATGAATATGACAAGAAAAACAAGCAAATAAACAAGTATCATCGTCGTCAAATGCGATCTGGCGCCATTACATAACTCATCCTCACAAGCACAGATTTTCACGGTTTCACCGCCTACCTCCTTGTTTTCGCAGCCAAACTTAAACGTAAAACTTTTTTCCTTCTTTAACGTACAGTTGCGGATGACATCTAAAAACACCAAGAAAGATGATGGTTACACAGCGATTTAAAAGATCGTGCATAAATTACAAACTGATATAATTTATATGATATCTTTAATTATTAGATTCTTTGATATAATGGCTTTTTAATTCAATATACTTCATTCCCCTTTATAAACAGGATCTGGTTTTATAAAGACTGATATACATGTATATCTACATCCCCTAAATAATGAGAAAATAACTTAAACTATATTGTGTAAATTATTCATGTTCAATTATACGTCTGTTTTAAAAATACTTTTTTTATTTATTTAAACAAAGGTGCCCGATTGTGGTTAAAATATAATGATACACAGTTGATCCCCTGATGGTAAGTCTCGAAAGTCAACGTATGACATTTATAATGTCAATGGATTCCCAAAGAAGTCCCTTCCTGGGGAGTTTTCCCTCCGTTTAATTTTTAAGGGCGGCCAATTGCCTTTCCGTTTGTTTTTCCATCCAAGACAATTCCCCTTCCGTGTACATATGAGAAGTCTGATACATTTATTGGCATTTCAAAGGAAATTAATATATAATATTTAATGATAATAAATGCGAGTAAAAAACGAAGTTAATAATACATTTGTAATTAATCTATACATGTATTTTTTTATTTCCTCTTATATCAGTACAGTGTCAAAATGTCAATATGTTTGTTAAAATTCGTTTAAATTGTATGTATATGTTATTACTCGTATTAATGTTTTTCATATCTATATACTACATTAGAGGGGATTTTTCCGGGTTAAAACAACGGGAAGAGAAAAGTCAAACACAAGAAGGGGACTGATCGGGTGTTAAAAAATAAATAGAAGGGGCCTTGTAATCGAATGTAATTATCAAGATCCCATATCAGTGTGACTTATAAACCTTACCAAAGAAATATACAATGTACACATTATGTTGTTCATGTGTGTAAAGGTACTTTATTGTTGCTTTTCAATTTTAAGAAAAAACAAAACAAAACAAAAAACCAGGATATAAGTTTCACATGATCTATGTTGATCAATTGTTATAATAATTACAATTATAAAAGATGTACGAAATAATCACTTCGACGTAAATTTTATAAAGATGTTCAAATATAAACATTATGACATGTTGGAATATAACAGTATAATTTATCACATATGATTTAGTATTTAATATGGTTTGTGAAAATTGATTCGTTATATTCATTTATGATTATTTATAAAAATTTCAGATTTACCTCCAGTGTTTGTAAAATGATATTTACTGCAATATTCACAGTTGTCCAATAGAAAGCTCGTGTTTGATTTCGTCAATTTGAAGTGTTCCCCACATACAGCACGGTGATCGGGCTTTCTCGTGTCACAGTTGTAACATTTTAAACCGTCCACTGGCCCGATTCTGTCTGTAAATTGACAATTCATTGAATGATTATTTTTGTTGAAACAAAGAAAATGTAAGGCAAATTCATTTATCAGTGAAAACGAGGTAATCATAGAAACTCACGTATCAAATAAGAGTAGGTACTTTCACACGACCCAGTCTTCAGTTTATCCCTATTTTATCACAAATAGCTGGTAAAATGTATGCATAAATTATCTCTGTCATTGTCTTAAATTACGAAAAAGAAAAGAAAAAAAGTGAGTACGCATGACTCACACATAAAAGATCAAGATTATTTAGCAATTTGCTTTCTTAATATTTACTTTTTTCTAAATACAAATAAATACAAATACAAGACATTTATATAGCGCAAAAATGTATTAAATATTCGATTGCGCTGTACATTATTAAGACTATATACACATATGCTTGATCAAGACACTCCCAAACCCAGTCTCGATGGCACAGCCAATCTACAACTCTAGTTGAAAAACAGTCCAAACAAGTATGTTTTAAGTTTGGCCTTAAACTGATTTTCATTGGTAATGTCCTTCAGATAGTCTGGCAATGAATTCCACCATTTAGGTCCCACAATGGCCAAGGATTTATCAGCAAGTTTTGAATTTGTTGATGGTATATCAAACCGAATGTGGCTAGATGATGAGGATCTCAGTCTTTTCCTGTACTGACTCTGGCATTTAGTGAACAATTTACGAAGATACAATTGAGCGGTGCCATTTGCAACACGAAACACAGTCACAATAACTTTGTACATGATTCTTGCTCGAATTGGAAGCCAGTGGAGTGATTTAAGAATTTCAGCACTGGATTGATAGTAAGTAGCTCCAGTGACAATTCTAGCAGCATAATTTTGCACACGTTGTAATTTATCAAGTTGATAGGCTGGAATATCAGCGAATAATCCATTGCAAAAGTCTAAATGTGAATGAATCAAACCGTGAACAAGGATTTCTGCAGATTTCTTAGTGAGATGTTTTCTGATTGCTTTCAAATTTCTTAACTGCATGTGTGCAATCTGACACTTCTTTTGAATATGGATGTCAAAACTTAAAGTGCTGGTCATCTGTACTCCAAGGTCTCTCACATTGTCAACACAGTTGACTTCGACCCCACCAACATTGACACTGGAAATGTTCAATTTCTTCAGCTGATGTCTTGTACCATAAATGATGATTTCTGTTTTGCTATTGTTCATTTTTAACTTAAATCTAGTCATCCATGACACAATATCATTAAGACAGTCAGTTAGTTTTTGGCGAACGATTTCTTCGCTGTGATGGTTACCAGCTCTAATTTTAAATGCCACTTTATGATCGTCTGCATATCCATACAAATCCGCCAGATATTTCTGGACTATTTTGTTAAGGGCAGCTATATAGAGAGTTAATATCACCGGTCCAGCACAAGAACCCTGGGGAACCCCGAACCTCAGTGGCTCAGTTTCCGATGAGGACTGTTCAATGACAACTTTCATATCTCTGTTGGTTAAATAAGATTCGATCCACTTTAATGGAATACCCTGTATGGCAGTCTTTCTGTAGGATTTCAAGTAATATTGGTATATCGATAGTATCGAAGGCGGCGCTTAAATCAATCATTACAACTATTGTCACATGGCGGCTATCAGCTGTTTCTAGCAGATCACTGTACATTTTCATCATAGCAGACTCAACACTGTGAAATTTACGGTATGCACTTTGGTAAGATGGTAACAAATTGTTGGACTCAATGTGGATTGAAATTTGGTTCATTGCAGCTTTTTCAAGTATTTTCGACAAGAATGACAGGTTTGATACAGGCCGATAGTTTTTGAATTCTAAGGGAAGGCCTTTCTTTTTCAAAAGGGGCTTAATAACAGCGCTCTTCCACGTCTCTGGAAAAACACCAGAAGACAATGACCGATTCACGATTTCTGTCACAACAGGTGCAATCAAATGAAGATTTTCTTTAAGCTTTGGTGTTGGCATAACGTCCAACTCACATGTTGCTGACTTTGATTCACTCACAAGTTTGATTATGTATTTTTCATTTAGTATATGACAAGTCTACCCGAGTTCAAGACTCTGTAATAGTATATGCAAGTTTATAAAGTGTATTATTTTAAAATTATGTAAAACGTTATGCGAAATCTATTTATATCATTTATCATACATCTGTTTATCCTCATGGACCTTTTGGTCCAATGCAATAAAATTATTGAAATAAACTTAAACTATCGAAGAGAGAAGGAATTTCTTAACTTGAATAAAGGTAGAAATTAAAATATCCGGCATGGCAAAACTCATCACAGAATATATTTACCTACCTATTACTATAAATAGAAGTATAGTAGCTATCGATATCTCCATATACTTGACCATCCTGGAATTTATGCCAAATACAATAAAATTCAAGTAACTTTGCTCTCTCGATACTTAGTATTGCTTTAATTGTTTACTAATTAAACGAACACTTTATTAATATTAACAATCACACAGTGTTGTTCCGTTGTCATTAATTTTACGCAAATACTTTATCTAAGTATAAATATTGAATTTGAATATATATAGTGTCAAAATTGTTTACAGATCATACTTCTCGATTGTACAGCGAATGTATGGGGAGTTTCCGATTCAAATTTCATTGTTTATTTTAATAATTGAATCATTTATAACTTCCCCTGTTCTTCCCAGAAAGTCAAATAGTTATTTCCTATTTAAATAGTGCTCCCTATTTTGCCATGTTATAATTATAATGTATCGAAAAATAAAATATAAAAATTTATGGTTTGTATTAATATTGATTGTTCTTCATTAGAATGACAATAAAAATGTCAAAATATGATTAAAAATTTAGTTAAGTTTAGTTTAGATAAGTTTAGTTTTAAAACATTTACATTTTGTAACAATCATATTGTACAATTGAGTGTAAAATGTTTTTTTTTAATTGGATAATTTTTTTGAAATACATTGTATAACATTTCTTTTCATATTGTAGTTGTTTTTTTTTTGTAAAAAAGAAAGAAATACCTAGTTCTGTAAAATAGTCTTAGATTTGTTAACTTAGAAGTTGACATGCTCGTAGCACAAGTACCGCGCTAACATGCACATAGTTTTCAAATGCACATTATGCTGGTTAAAATAAAATGGTAGTACTTTTAAAAAGTTATATATATCATCGAATAATAATAATAATAATAATAATAATAATAATTATAATAATATAAAATAATAATAATAATAATAATAATAATAATAATAATAATAATGATAATAATGATGATGATGATGATGATGATGATGATGATGATGATGATGATAATAATAATAATAATAATAATAATAATGATGATGATGATGATGATTGATGATGATGATGATGATGATGATAATAATAATAACTTTAATAATAATAATCACAATTATAATGATAACGATAATGATAATAAGAGAGAATTTATTTGAACATGACAATCTTTGAAGGGGCTCTCGACAACAACAACAACAACAACATCACTACAAACAACAAGATATCAAAGACATCAATTTTATGAATTATATGAACAAATAAAGTAAAATTACTGTAATATTCATCTAAAAGCAAGTAATTATCTGTAAAGGGTTTCTCCGGAAATTTACAATTGAACGCTCTTAAATAATAGTGATCTTCAAACAGCGACAATTTCCTGAAACATTGTGTGACTCATGTTACTGACAGATCGTAATACATCATACCACTTCAATATTAAATCCCATAAGTTTATAATTTTAAGTGAAACATTAAATTTAGTTGATTTAAAACATTATCTATTTAAGTTCGATTGCGAAACAAGTTCTTGTAACCTATACTAATCACTTTCGAGTCAGCTTTCTGGAACTACTAGTAACCAGTACTGGTGTCATTTAAAGAAACATTGTCGTGACCCGATTTGGTCTCAAACCCATGATCCCTGGGTTGAGAGGCATACACCTTAACAACTAGCTACCGCATAATTCAGACGTTTTAGATATAATTTACAGAGTTATACTGTGTTTGGTAAGCTTTGTTGACTACGCGTTTACTGGCAATATGTGTACCTATAAGAATTGCCTTATTTAAATTGCTGACTTAATGTTAACACGACGTTAGCCTTGGCTACCTCATGTTCTCAGATTTCAGATTGACACATAAATATTTCTCATTGTACCCATCCCTTTCTATTGCTCATTGCCCCGTCTTCAAAATGTACTATTTTCTAGAAAAGTTTGTACAAATACTAATGCATTGCTCATTTTAACACTATGCATACTCAAAACACGTTTGACATAAATTAAAAAACTGTTCAACGCCCCTTTCTTGTACTTTAAATCTTAAACAAAAATAAAGAGGATAAACGTGGTTACAAGGAAGTTTTCATTTTAATTCAAAAAAACTTTTTAAATCTCTTTTTCTATTTAAGGAAAACAGTCTTCATAATCATAACACGCCCTGTTATTACAGTTTCGTATGACCAATTGCGTTGTTTATGTTAAAGTGTTATGTGTTAAAGAAGGCATATGCTTGTAAGGAAATATGGTTTAGTATTACAGTATAACCTCTCTAGACAGGCCATCATTAAACAATAATCCCTTTTTTACAAATATTTAATGACACTATGTATTCATACTGTGTTTACCAATAGTGTAAATTGTACAGTTTTTTACTTCGTTTGTACTTAAAAATGTTTATATTTTAATCGTATAAAAATTGTGTAAGCAATAATCAATATTATGAAAATAAAATTTGAGCATAATTTATCTTTAATATGCAACGATAGTTTTATCTAGATTTAAGATATTGTAATTGACAATAACGTTCAACAGATCAATGCTATAGATACAAGAAGTCTGTTTTGCCATGTAGATGTCAATGAGGCGACAATGGTTCATAAGTGTTGTATTTTTCTGAAATATTAGTGAGCACTTTACTAGAAAGTTTTTTGAATGAACAGATGTGATTCATATTACATTTTCCTCATTTACAATTAATCATTTTCGTCGTAATAAATTCACGGGAAGTGTTCAGCATTAAATAAAATCATTTGCAGACTTTGTTTCTTCCGATTCAAAAGTATCTTTTTTAGAATACTTTTTAAAGAAAATTTATCAAAAAATGCAAGAGTTGCTGTAATTGTTTAACACAGAAACAGCGATGGATTTAGATTTATTATATGCCGTTATGTTTTCTTTATTTTCTGCAAGCCGGGGAACTTACGATTACGGTACGAATCTTTTATTTTTAGTTGTTTTTAAAATTATATTAATGTTTTTAACATCTTTTATGACTGTTTCCTTTAATTCAACTTGTAAAATAATACAAATCATATCTCCTGGCAGGCTAATAACTGATTTATAAACTAATTATTATTATACAACCACTTACATGTATATATATTTTCAATTGCTTAACAATGAATCCGTTTAGTATTGACTGATACCTCTTTAATTGTTGCAATCTTCACAACAGATGTTATCGGAACTCGGCAAATGTTCTTGTCTTTTCCTATCTTAGCCGGGTGTACAAACATGCACTACCGTGTACCGTAGGGTAGTGTACATGTTGCTGAAATAAATGCACCACTGTAGAAGTGTGTACCCCCAGATTAGCCGGAAAATCCCGACATACAATGTATTTTATATTCCAGAGTTGAAGTGAGAGTGCGTGAAGCTCAGCTTATTGTGGAGAACGCTTCAATTTTTCCACATGAGAATAACAAATTTAAAATTATTTAGTAAGACCTCGTATAACAAGATGTTATCTTCATATAAAGTGCCTCATTTTATTGGTCAAATATACACCTGGAAATAAGTTAAGCACTACCCCGTTATTTAGAATTGGTTGTGATTGAAAGCACTGCCAATAGATGACGACTTGATTGAGCTAAGAAATAATAATTGGATAAGTAGCGATACCAATCTAGTTATCATTAACCAGTAAATTTATGAGTTTAGTTTATTCTTAACCAAATTATTGAATCATAAAGAA